AAAAATGTTTATATTTAATACATTTAAAATAAGCGTATTGAATTTTTATTTAACGAATTCATTTTTTATTTAAAGCAACATTTAAGAAACTAAATTTTTCATCAAAATCACATATGATTCATAATTAATTATTTTTAAAAAATATTTTCCTAATGATATGCGATATAAAGCTTGATAAACAATGATTCAAATTAAATATTGAAAAACAAAAATAACGGAAGCAGAGTCATATGTGATATATAACAACACATATTTAAAATATATAATATCACATGTGCTTCAAAACGTAATTCATAATTTACACATGTCACATGTAATATTGTAGATAGCTTACATTTTTTTCCACTATAATCAGTATCACATATGATACATTGATGAAAATTAGCAAAAAAAAATTAAAAAGTCGATTAATTGTGGATATCAAATGTGATTTTTGACGAAAATAGTAAAAAATTCTTAAATAAATTAATTCAATAAAAATAAATATTTAAAATGAAAAACTAAATCAGACTTATTTTAAATGTTGAAAAAAATAAAAAATTAATAGATGAAAAATTAATTACGCTTAAATCACGAAAACTAAAAAAAATATGAATAAATACCTTAATTAAATGTATTAAATAATTTTTATTAAAATAAATAAATTCCCATGTATAAATTGTGTACAAAAAATGACACATTTACCCTTTTGGGCGATATTTCATAAAGTTTTATTTAAGACATTACTCAAATAATATTAGTCCAGAATTATTCTCTTATTTTCTTAAATACGTATTATTTTCGTATGAATCTCCATACACACACACACACACACACATATATATATATATATATATGTGTGTGTATATATATGGATGACACCATATGTCATTTCTCACCCATCTCCTTAAAAAAAAAACCAGCTCTCAAATGCATCCAAATTCTCCATCTCTCCGACGTTCTCTAAGATCCACGAATTTTCCAAATATTTCCTACATTTCATAATATCCTCAATTTTTTACAAATATTATTCAATCTCCAATTTTAATCTTCGTCTTAAAATATTAACAAATCAAAATCAATATAAAAAAGTAAAATTTTATAAATCATTGAACTTTTTTTAAATAAAATATGCATATATATATATTAGATTTATATAATAATCTATGAATAAAATTAAATTTTATAGATAAAAAATTGGAAAATGAGGTTTTTGTAAGGAGTCTTGTTAAATAACCATTTCCCTTATTCAAATTGGTCTCTTAACCATATATCTTCTAGATTGACCCAAATGTCATTACTTCCGCAATATTGTGGACCCAACTAAATACTAAAAATTCAATACATATATGCAATTGCAACGACCAGATATGTAATCACGACGTTAAACTTGTTGAATTTTTGACATTTTTTGTCTTTTAGTTATTGCAGACCTGGGTATTGCGGATTTAGTGACATTTGGGTCAATCCGGGAGGAAAACAATTAGAAGGCCAATTTGAACAAGGGAAATGGTCATTTGAGCTAATTTCTCTTTTGTACGAATCTTCATTGTGAAGTTCTATTAAGATTCTTATCTTATTAATGTGGCAGAAAAAAAAATATGGAAAATAAAGTTCTTGAAGATTCCACCATTCTAGATGTTCTTATCCGCATCGACTAATCTACCGGACAATCATAAATGACCTAGTCTTGAACAAAAAAAGTCTGTGGTTCCTAATGCAAAAGGCAATTTTTCTAAAGTTTTTATTTCAAGCAAATTATCGTAACATATCTTCGTCACATGTAATGATTTATCAAAAAAATTATCAGCCATATTCAATAACAGATAGCTAAATATATAGATTTTAACAACGTCTGAATTCGAAACCGGGTTTCATGACATCCCCGGATCTAATCAATGCATCAAAACCCACAAGTGGTGAACTGGGAAACATTTGAAGCGGCAAGACTTGTGCATTTGTCAGTAGTCAGTCAGTTGGTGTAACTTCATTAATACATAAACATGTGATTTTTAATTTAAGTAGTAATAAATTTAGGATATCATGAACAGATTTAACTTGTACTTTATGGATTAGATGTTGTACCCTGCAAATGGGATTTTTTAAGTTGACCTTATAACACTACCCAAAGGCTGGCTGTCTGGCTGTCTGGCTGGCTGGCTGGCTTTTTCCTATTAGGTTCCATTCCCACCAAACCTGCACAAATAATGGAGGTTCAGACCTTCAGTTACTGCAGATTCCATCATTTATTAAACCATAATAGTGGATCCCAATGCTAAATCCTCCCTTCTACTAAGATTTTACTGCGCACATCCTGGTCTACAATTAAACATATAATTCAACCTCAGGAACTTTCGTTTTAGGAATCCAAAATTGATTAGGAATCAAGAAACCGTTCACAGCACGCCACGTGTCCCTCTTCGGATGAATATCTATCATGAATCACATATTCATGATAAATATGAAAGTGTTATTCATTATGAATCACACATTCATGTTATTTGTCATGTGTTGAGATTGTGGGCGGTTACTGGGTTCCTAATCAATTTTACAACTCGTATATCATATCTGTTATTTTTTTATTAAGATTTGTCTGAAATAAGATACGGATTGTCACGTTATAATGCAACAAAACACAATTAGGAGTTATATGGAATTAAGATAGAGTTGGTACCTCAAATGTTCTTCCCTGCATCATCATCGTCTTCATCCCACATTTGAACCCAATTCTTCTTGGCTTCTTCAAGCCCAAGAAGCGAACCTTTGTTGTCTTCATCCCAACTGGTGGACAGAGTGCCATAAGCAATTCCAAGTGTTGAAGCTCCAAATGTGATGAAAGTTGTCAAGAATGGAAGCCAACGTGGCACTTGCCATAAATTCTGTTCCTTTATTACACTAAAGATTTGAAGCAGAGCTAACCCAGTTACCAAAGGCACCCCCACATTGAATAAAATCCTAACTATCATCCTTTCCATCACAACATCTGGTATTTTATCATCTGCATCTTCTTTCATCTTCTTCTTTTCTTCTTTCATCATAAGTTTTTGTTTTTCCAGATTTGCCCCTTTAAACCCTTTTGCTTTTGCATGAATCTTCCATGTTTTTGTGGCAATATATGATGGGTTCTTGGTGGGTATCTTAGGTAAAGTTGTAATGCAGGGAGATGTTAGTTCCAGGAACAGAGTTTTCATGGCTTGTTCTATTCCCTCTAGGTTTTTGTTTCTCATAAAACACAGGATTTTATTTCATTTTTTTCTTGGTAATCTTATCCACAAGAAATGTGTGGTGGGTGATGATATCTTGGACTCCTAGATTTTTCTGTCTTTAGTTGCATATTCTATTTTTCAAGATTATCTGAGGTTTTATACACTTTCTTGTGGGGCATACTTAAATTTCTTGAATATTTCAAATTCAGATGTTGATGATTTTAACCGTCACAAGTTGATTCAGGCCATGAAATTACTCTCTACCTATAAATCTGTTTCTAATGACTGGTTCTGTATTTTGAAACATAGAAGGTATTGTTTCTGCAACATATGTATTAGTGGTAAGTGCTAACAAGTCATGCAAAGCAGTGAACACTTCTAATCTTATTCTGCAGCATTTCAATTTATTATTTATAAACAGAAAGTTAAAAAACAAAGATCCCGAAAACTTGATCCTGAACAAATCCTCCAGACCAACTTCCAGGATTTCTAGCATTACACATTTAACAACTACTAATTATCAGACAATGCAGAACCTTGTACACTTGCTTCCAGGGTGATAAGCTGTGAGAAACTGGAGAAATATTTATTACCAGGTTTCTCCAGCTTCTCGTACGATTTCCTTGAGACCTGCCACAGATCATGGCCATAAGAGCATAGCAATAGTAATATGTAAAGAGTTGATGATACAAACATTTGTGGCTTACCTTATATGAAGATGGTGAGCTGCTGATGAGACCCATAGGAGAATTCGGTGTAGACTTTCTAGGTGAAGCATATAATGTTGGTTTTGTGAAGGGTGACTGAATAAATGGTGAAATTGGTGAACTGAGTGCAGAAATCTGATGGTGTAAAGAATCTGGTGTATTAGAAGGTGATACAGGAAGTGGAGATGACACTAGAGTTTTCCAGTCCAAATGAGATGATGCTGATGCCGCACCGGATCTTAATGAGGATGGAAGTATGTTGATTTTCATTCTGAAGTTAAAAAGAATGAAAGCAAACGAAAACGTTAAGGTGTCAAATGTTCGCTATTATTAGCTTGTCTTAGAACTAAATAAAAAAGTAGGGATCAGAATACTCACATGTTGTCTACATCAACATACTCATTCTTTTCATCCAGTATAGGTTCCTTCAAATTGAGATGATACAAGGCATGAGGGCAAAAGATAAACATCAATATGCACGTAATTAAGTAACATCAGTGGCGAAATTTGTAGAGCTGATGCAGTGTATGATAATTGAACCGAAGATTCAACCTGGTCATTCTGTTAAGACCCAGGAATAACCTCTTTCAAAGCTTGTTGATTCAATGAATACCAAGCGCTAGGTTCAAATTCAGAGAGAACTGAGAATTTGGATGGAAAATGAATTTTGTTATTGATCAAGTGACCATCCACTTTACACATCCAGTATATAAATAAAGAGTTCCAAGAAAAAAGGGGCCTGAAAAGAGATGATGGGCCAAAGATAAAAGCCCAAACGGAACATGGAAAATAGCAAAATAAAGAGTCTCAGAACATGTTTAAACGGCATTTTTAGGCCTCGAAAATCCTGGGGGACTACCCAGGGCGTGCTACTCGTTCTAACTTTGAATCGGTGTAGCAAAAATTATGCGCTTTTAAGTGTGACACGCCCTTTTGGCCCGGTCATGGGCTTCCAGGAACACTAAGGCCCGGTCCTCCATGCTTAGGCCCACATCAAGATCCAACTCGAGAAATATGGGTACTTAGAGAAGAAGTTAAAAAAATTGGTCCATATAGATGACCATCCGCATCAATTATCTACTGGTCAATTACAGAAAATGGCCATTGAAAAGAATCACACATTGTCACATTGGAGATGAAATTTCACAGCCAAGAGCTAAATATTGGAACTTATGGGCAATAAACAATTTCAATGGTAATATAGGTACTTATAGCCAACCTGTAGAAGTTCCTCCAGAACATCTTCCATTGTTATAACACCAATAATTTCTTCATTGGGATTTGGAAATGAGTCTAAAGCACGAGTTGCAAAACTTTGATCTGGTGCTGGATTTTGAGACACAGGATCACTGGAAGATCTGTAGATGCTCAGTTTCGTATCGTGACCTGTAACTCGTGCAAGTTGGTCATTACTAGAATAAGTCAATAGTTTCATGTCTTTTAGGCTACCATTCATAAAGATAAAAGAGACCTTTTCTGTCCACTTTAATTTGAGTCAGGTTCGAGCTGATATGCTTCTTGACCGTCTCGTTCTTGGCCATGGTACTTTTTGAGGTACTGTTAAGAGCAGTTTTACTCCTTACAACAGCTGCCATGTGGCATTGTCCTTTCTGGAACAAATTTAACATCTCATACAGAGGTAAACATTCATGTATCCTGTCGAATATGTTTAAACCGAAGCATAGATGAGCATCATGCAAAAGGGAAAGAATTAAGACAGATTATTTCAGCATGCAAGAAGAAACTGTACCTAGGAATTTTCTGAATATTGAGACTCTTAATAGGAGCTTCGTCTTCAGGTCGAAATTTGATTAGACTTTTTACCTAAATCATGGTGAAAGATACAGTGGTAATATTTAAGTGACTGCACAAGTAATTTAAAACATTCAAATTGCTTACCAAGATAAGACCAATTATACTTTCTGGTCTTTCTAGATAGACCGGCACACGACTATGCCCTTTGCTTAATAACAAACTCATAGTGTCCCTGAAAAATTACAATCTGTCAATCATGGCTATCAGATGAGAAGAAAAAAAAATTATGCAAAAGAGCAGGTATATACTCATTGAGTTTAGAGTTCAGCTCAAGGGAAAATATTTCAGATATCGGTGTCATAGCATCTTTGACGGTTTTCTGAGCTAAATCCAGAGCTCCGGTTATAATCGTAATTTCATCATTTGTCAACTCTCCACCTTTCCCTGCCTGAAAGTTGATTTGATTCAGTTGACTACTCTAGTCATATGATGCCATGCGATATATGTTCGAAAATATGCAAACATATCATACCTTATTTCCATGCATATCCACCAATGTTTTGAGCTCTGCACGTCGTAAAAGCACAGAATGCCCCTTCCCAAGGATCAAGTCTAATAGCTGTCAATTTTAAATCAGAAAACTTTTCGTTATGTACCAAGGTTGTGCACCCACACACAGAAGTTATTACCCCTGCCACCAAGTGCATAGTTCTCTACATGGCTATACCCAATTCTTCAAGCATATGAAGAAAAATAACAGTAACTGATGTACCTTGCTGAGAGGATAAGCTATGGGAAAGACAACCATAACAAGCAACCGAACTAACACAGATAGTTTTGCACCAATAGCTAGTCCATATCTTGAGCACACAGCTTGAGGTATAATCTGAAGTCAAATTAAAGAAACATATCAACATAGAAACGTTACTGAGATATGTAGCCACGGGTGGAAAACTGTGAACTTACCTCACCAAAAACAACCACAAGGGTTACTGATATCAATATGGCAGTCCAAGGCAAGAGAATCGAGTCAAGGAAAATTGGCAAAGCCTTGTTGACAAAAAAGAAGAGACTCATGATATTGAAGGTATGAAAATCCTGAATGATCATACTATCAGGGTGTTGCTATATGCACCCCATTTAAGTCATAACCATGTCAAATCATGCAATGAAAATGTAAAAAGTGAGTCTTGATGTTGATGTGCGTGAGGAGGAAATTAGTAGGTAGGAATGCATTTAGCCCACGCCTAGTAGAAGTGAAGTACCTCCATAGCTATGGCATTGCATATGAGAAGAGTACATAGGAGTAGGTGGTGATTCTTCACGATGGGCATTATCTTTTCTGCAAAATCAAAAAACAAGGAAACATCAGAATCAGGTAATAAAATTTTCATGACAAACACCTCAGTGAACTGAATACTGACCTGCATTCTTTCGGTCTTTAGGCTGACCAGCCTTGATGAGCACCTCGAGATCAAGAAGGCTAAGTGACATTAAACCCAGTGTTAAGCCCGACATAAGTCCAGCAAAAGCCACCAAGGCAACAGCTGAGGCTAAATAAACCCAGAACATAGTTTCACAACATGGCACATCATTTGCAGCCATTTTGCTGATTACTGATCTTTCAACACTAGACTATACTAGGCCAACGAAAAGATTGTTAAGAGTACTGTAAGCACTCGGGTTTAAATAGACAGAGAAGGCCGTGATTATTATGGCCATTGAGATATGGAAAGGTTGGCAGTTGCAGAGGTTAAAAGAACTGATGACAATAGAAGACAAAACCCAAAAAGGCTATCCACAAATATAGGCAAACACTTCACTCTCAACTACTCCATTTCAAATTTAATGATTTTATAAGTCCCCCAAAGCTCATTGGGTCTGGTGGGAGTTGAGAATGGAAATCAAAGTACAGGTATAGGCGACTATAGTGCACACATGATGATCTAATGTGTCATTTACCCCATTGTTGAAGGCTGACTGGTGACTAAATTATACCAAGATTATGATTCCATCAACTCAACAGTGCCTGTTTACATTCTTATGGCATTCCTGCATTTGCTTTTTGACAAATTAACTACTTCTTAGCCATTTATAGAATGGAATATGGTCCAAGCGAACCAATTGGACTTTGCCAATTACGGAGATGAAACATGAAATCTGAATAATTAAGTGCAGAAATTTGATCCATGGAAACTGACATAAGGAGTAATGCCATATGCACCTTTTTTATATGTTAGAATCAGATCATTTATTATGAATTTAAAAAGTAAGTCCAGATGTTAATTGGTTACGAGGAGAAAATCACTAGATAGGGTGCAGTTTGCCACCCCAATTTATATTTAAAGAACGGTACCTGTCTTCACAGTTCACTCTTCTGTGAACAAAGCCAAGGGTTAGGGTTAGGGTTAGGGTTAGGGAAGTCTGAAGTGGTTGTCCACGAAGCTGTACAATCTTGTTGCTGAGCAACTGGATACGTCGCCAATTGAATCTCCATTGATGGAGGTTCGTGATGGTGATTTGAACGTCTCATTAGAAAGCTCGCGCATTTCAATACGTAGAAGATCAGAATCTCCAACTCATTTAGGAAGAAATGATATTTAAAATCATGCAAATTTCACAAATTAAGGAATTTAATATTTTTTAGCAAATACATGATATTTAATGGAATTGAATCTCTATCTTCATTATACTAAATATGTCATTAACCTACTAAACTCTAATCTTATAAAACTCAATATGACCATCGCCGACCACCTCTCGACCACTATTGATCTGAACCACCGCCGACCACCACCACCGACCTGAACTACCGCCGACCACCCCCAATTTAAACCACCGCTGACCACCACCACCGACTACCACCGATCTGAACCACCGCCGACCACCCCCGATCTGAACCACCGCTGATCACTACCACCGATCAGAACCACCGCCGATCTGAGCCACCACTGATCTGATTCATCGTCAATCTGAACCATCGTCGATAACCGCCATCTGAACCACCATGGACCACCACTGATCTGAACCACTGTCGACTATCGCCATCTGAACCATCACGGACCACCATCGATCTGAACCACCGCCAACTACTACCGATATGAAGCACCGTCGATCTAAACCACCATTGACCATAATCGATATGATCCATCACCGATCTGAACCATATCTGACCATCGTCACCTGAACCACAATGGACCACCATCGATCTATATCACTACCAACCACTGACGACGACTACCATCGATCTAAATCACCGTCGGACACCGCCGGCCACCACCGATTTGAACAACCACTGTCGCCACCGCCTATCTGAACCACCGTTGACCACCTCCATCTGAACCACTGTGGACCACCACAGATCTAAACCACCGTCGATTTAGTAACGTCGTTTGGCTTATGATTATATTTGGGTTGTGTATTTTACATTGTTTTACATATTAAATAATTATTTTATTAAAGTATTTTTAGTTTTCAAAAAATTAAAATTTTCAAAATGGGTATTTTGGATATTTAACCAATATTTTATTCCAATTTTAAAGTTATATTATATTAACCAAACATACAGATTCTAAATTTTTAATAGATTTCATTCCAATATCTGTCAACCAAACAGGTGGTCAAATCTGACAACAGTTCATTCCAATTCTTTCAAAGTCAAATTCCTTTAACAGATTTCATTTCATTCAAAAACATTCTCCGAACCAAATGCCACCTATTTTATATGAAGTTAAAAATCAATGGTATTGATTTATTAGTTTTTATATGAAGTTTTTTTTTTTAAATCTATTGTTATGATAAAATTATAAAATATCTATATCTATACTATATTATAAAACATTTGATAAAAATTCTTAAAAACTATTTTTTATGCATGAAGTATTGTTTATTGATGTATATTACTTAAATTCAAGACTACAAGTAAATTGTACGTAAATACAACTTATTAAAGCTTCTTGTATGAATTCGTGTAACTAACTGCAAATAACCATAATCAAATAGAGAATAAACATTTCATTTTAAATATAAACAAACTAAAATATAATTAGGATAATCATTGAGTTCTAACAAATACTTAATTATTATCTTTATAAAAATTATATTAATTAAACAAAAAAAAAATGAATTAATGAAATACACAAAAAAAAAAATTAGTTAGTCCGGTACTAATATCAATATTTCTATTTATTTTATACGATAACTTCAAAACCACATAAAAACGTATTATAACATCGACTAAGACAAAAAAAATGAAACACTAAAATCGAAATGTATATCGATGCATTGTACAAATACCCTTCTAGTTTTAATAATATAGTTAAAGTTGAAATTTCTTAAAATAGAAAATCTGTTGGAGTTCAGTACAATTATTTTATTATTTTTTACTTTCGGTTCTCTATTTTCTAAAAATTATAAAGAATTTGTAATACATTCTCTAAAACATAATATTTTCATCAATTTGGTTGAGTCTGTTACAATATCTCCAATATATTACCTACGACTGATAAAATCAGAGTTTTGTTAATTCTATAAAATAAATAAAATTATAACTTTAGAAAATTCTCTAAAATTTAAAGTGTTTGAAATAGAAATAAAAATGTTATTCAAACACTCCAATAAGATTGAAAATATTATTATTTTATATAAATTCTTTCTTAAAAAGTGTGTTATAATGGTAAATTAGTAAAATACTTTAATAATATAATGGATTTTGAAATCACTAAAATATAGAATTTATTATAGATATACTAGAAAGGTATTCGTGCAATGCAACAAGATACATCTTGATTTTAATATTTTATTTTATTTTTTTATCTCAGTCGATGTTATAATATGATCTTATGTGATTTTGAGAAAACAATTGTGTTTTTATTTTTGAATAAAATATAAGTTTGAAAATATCATAAAATTTTGACAAAAATATATCGATAATAGTATCAAATTAACTATTTAAAATTTCTCATTTTTTGTGTTATTTTTTAATTCAATTTTTTTTATAATTTAATTTAGGTACAATAACGAAGTAATTTATATTTGGTTTAATAATATAATTTTATTATAAAGATAATAATTATTTATTTTGTTAGAACTCGATAATTATTCTAATTATATTTTAGATTTTTTATATTTTAAAGTGAGATGTTTATCCTCTATTTGATTATGTTTATCCGTAGTTAGTTATACGAATTCAAACATCGAGCTTTAATAAGTTGTATATGCATAATTTACTTGTAATCTTGAATTTTAAATAAACATTGGTTTTATGTGGTTTTGAGAAAGTGATAATGTTTTTATTTTTGAATAAATTATAAATTTAAAAATATCATAAATTTTTGAAAAAAAATATCGATATCAGTATTTAATTAATCTTTTTAAATTTCTTGTGTTGGTGTAATTTTTTTAATTATAATTTAATTTAGGTTTAATTTTATATTTAAAATGAGATGTTTATCCAATATTTGATTATATTTATCTGCAGTTAGTTAGATGAATTAAAGTATGAAACTTTAATAAGTTGTACTTATGCACGATTTACTTGTAATCTTAAATTTTAAGTAATATGCATCAATAAACAGTACTTCGTGCATAAAAAATAGTTTTTAAGAGTTTTTGTCAAATGCTTTATAATATAGTATAGATATGTAATTTTTTTTTCTTTTTTGAGATTTTGGCTTTTAAGTCTCGATTTTAAATAAATTATAGAGATCTTGTTGGAGATGTAATACCCCAAAAACTGAGGTGACAATTAGCCAAAATAAGATACGGATATTGGTAACGGGATATCAAAATACAAGCTTTACCCAAAAAGGGGGGAAATATCAGTTAATTACATGTGTATATAAATGGTTTGAGGATAACAACATTCTAATCTAATACCCAGAAAAGTTAGGGTCATTTACTAAACACTTACTTGGTAAGTACTTACCGGATAAATTTCCTAATCGGATGAACATGAGAAGGGTCAAGAATCTTACCGGGTAAGAGCGATGAGAATGATGGAGAGTTTTACCCGGTAGGTGAGAATGACGACTCTTACCCATGTAAGCGCTTACCCACTAAATGGTTGCATTCGATATGTTTTAATATACTAAAATATTACGCATCAAAATAAATCATAGTGTTGACTCTTATTGGTAAGTGCTTACCGGGTAAGCAATTGGATAAACGGCCCCTTAGATTACAGTCGAGTGTCACTTAAACCACTAAAAGGTGGAACCAACACAAAGCTTCTCAAAATGCTTCACGCTATAGCTCTCTACTGGTGATAGATCAAACCTCTCTAATGATCCCGCCACTAGAACCTGAGATACATTATATGATAACCGGTTTGTTTGATTACAAAATTGGGATTATTTTTGACAATGAAGAAAAGTTGAGGGGTGAAATTTAAAAATTTGTTTAAAATATCCTATTTCTTCCACCGCCCCTTTAAAAGAAATATATATTTATGTTTTTTTTTCTTTTATCTCCTTGATTGTAAGGAGATAAAAACAAAAGGAGAAAAGTTGGTATATCTGTTTGGAACCACAAATGTCATCGATTTTCGTATACGGCTCCAATGAACACCATCGTAAGACCTTGAAACCCTCGTTTTGTGTTGCTGAGACATGTGCCTAAGGAGCAGTGGTGGACGCAGAAAAATATATTGTAGGGAGCACAAAATCAATGGTTTAGTAACATTTTTATTTGCCTATAAAATTAACCTAAAATTTGACATTTCCATTTGATTTGCCTAATTGCCTACAAAATTACATACAAAATTAACCAACAAAATTAACCTAAAGCATTTACCAATTACCACAAAATTAACCTAAAATACCTAACCTAAAGCATTTACCAATTACCACAAAATTAACCTAAAACATTTACCAATTACCACAAAATTAACCTAAAATACCTAACCTAAAGCATTTACCAATTACCACAAAATTAACCTAAAATACTACTAAATGAAGTTGG